CCCCCCACGCACACACACAAGGTTAGACGAGTCAGTTACCTCAAACCAAGCTCAATCAGTCAATAAGAATGCCTTTCACTCGATTTTCCGACTCCGAACGACCCAAATCTAGCCAAAAGCAATTGCATACTATAAATACAACTACAAGAAATTAATTTAAATAATGAAACTACGACTTTAGCAAAGAATTGAAAAATCGCGCCAAAAAGTCGACCCGGGCCCACGTCTCGGAATCGGGTAAAGTCACAAAATACAAATACCCATTCGACCACGAGTTCACCGATACAATAATTAATCAAATCTAATACCAAATTCTCAATCAAACCTCAAAATTCGGCATAGGGATTTTCCACCCTTTTTCACAAATTTCACAACCCCAATCCTTAAATAAAGGAAGAATAAATGATATCTTAGTGGGGATTATTCAAAAACAAGTCAAGAATCCTTACCCAAATATTTTTTTTGAAAACACCTCAAAATTTCTCCTCAATATGAGCTCTCTAGGTTCAAAAATGGAGAATGAAATTAAACCCTTGGAATTGGCCCTTTTTTGCATAGCGAAATCGCTTCTGCGAGTCCACAGCCACAGGTGCGGTTCTAACTTATTCTAGGCACGTCCGCATCTGTAGACCCAAATGTGCACTTGTGCTTCCGCTTCTGCGGCCAAGGAACGCTTCTGCGCATGCGCTTCTGATGCCTTTAGCCATTCTCACAAGTTCAAATTTGATCCGTTAACCATCCAGAATCCATCTGAGGCCCCCGGGACCTCAACCAAATATACAAACAAGTCCTAAAATACCATACGAACTTAGTCGAGCCTTTAAATCACATCAAATAACGCAAAAAATATGAATTGCGCATCGATTCAACCCTAATGAGCTTTAAAACTTCAAGCTTTTACATCCGATGCCGAAACCTATCAAATCAATTCTGATTGACCTCAAATTTTGTACACAAGTCATAATTGACATTATGGACCTACTCCAACTTCCAGAATCAGAATCCGACCCCGATATCAAAAAGTCCACTCCCGGTCAAACTTCCTAAAAATCATCCAATTTTCCAACTTTCTCCAATTGACGCTAAAATGACCTACGTACCTCCAATTCAACATCCAAACACGCTCCTAAGACCAAAATCACCATACGGAGCTACTGGAACCGTCAAAACTCCATTTTGGAGTCTCCTTCACACAATTCAAACTACGGTAAATTCCTAGAACTTAAACTCTCACTTTAGGAACTATGTGTCCCACTCCACTACAAAACCAAAAACCAAACCTCCCGGCAAGTCACGAAACTAAAAAATGAGATGGAGGAAACAATAAATAGGGGTTCGGGGCTAATACTCTCAAAATGACCGGCCGGGTCGTTACAAATACATGGATATACTATGCGATACATACTGATATAAATGTAAATACACATATATACATGAAAATATTCAAATAGAAATCACCATTACTACCAATATCAGACCCAAACAACACCAAATATTCTCCGAATGAGCTCAAATTTAGCATCCCAAAGATGTTTTCAAGCTATTGCAATGATACCCATTTGATTTAACAACAGTCTTTGAGTTTTAAATTTTATCCCTCAACCTTCCAACTTCAAAAATGGAGATTACAACAACAACAACAACAAAAACTCAATGTAATCCCACAAGTGGGGTCTGGGGAGGATAGTACATACACTGACCTTACCCCTACCTTGTAAAGATAAAGACGTTGTTTTTGATAAACCCTTGCTTAAGAAAAGACTAAAGGGAGGCAAGTAACAATAAGTAGTAACAACAACAAGATAATGAGATAACCGGAGCGAAAGAGATAACATGTAGTAAAAGAAGTCTAAGAATTAGAAAATACAAGATAATAAGATAGCTGGAGTGGAAGAGGCAACATATAGTAATAGAAAACTAAGAAATAGGAAATACTACTAGTATGAAAAAGAAGTATACTCGACTGATAGAAAACATGTAGCGATACAAAGAACAATACTAATAATACTTTTGTGAAAAAGAAGTACACTCGACTACCTACTAACCATCTAGCCTAGCTCTTGACCTCCACACCCTCCTATCAAGGGTCATGTCATAGGTAAGCTGGAGCTACGCCATATCCTGGCTAGTCACCCCAGACCCACCAAGGCCAACCTCTCACACCTCTTTACCGTGGTATCTGTGCCTCTCTTATTCACATGCCAAACCATCTTAGCCTCACTTCCCGTATCTTGTCCTCTACGGGGGCCACTCCCACCTTGTCCTGAATATTTTCATTCATAATATTATCTCGGATGGTATGCCCACACATCCATCTCAATATTCTCATATATGCTACTTTTATTTTCTGGACATGCGATTTCTTAACTAGCACTCTACTATATATAACATAGTCGGTCTGATCGCTACTCTTTAAAACTTACCTTTAAGTCTTGGTGGCACATTCTTATCACTCTAATACAATGTGTAACTTCCTCGATAATCTCTGTATTACCTTGGATTACTGACCCAAGGTACTTGAAACTCCCTCTCTTAGGGATAACTTGAGTAACAAGCTTCGCATCAACATCTATTCATGAGTCCCATCACTGAATTTGCACTCTAAGTATTCTATTTTGGTCCTGTTCAACTTGAGTCCCTTTGGGCCTATCTCTAAATCTCCAGCCTTGAGTTAACCCCGCCTTGCGTCTTGTCAATCAGCACTATGTCATCGGGAAATAACATACACCATGACACCTCCCCTTGAATGTGTCACGTCAGCACGTCCATCGCCAAGGAAAATAAAAATGGGCTAATAGTCGATTCTTGGTGCAACCACATCACTACTGTGAAGTATTTTGTGTCACATCCCACAGTCCTCACCCGATTCTTAGCACCATCATACAATCCTTAATCACCATAGTGGACGCTACAAAAACACCGCTAACCTCCAAACACCTTTATAGAATCTCCTTCAGCACTTTATCGTATGCTTTTTCAAGGTAATGAATACCATATGCAAGTCCTTCTTCTTTTTCCTATACTGCTCTACCAATTTCCCCACTAGTGAATAGCTTCCATAGTTGATCGACACGTCATGAATCCGAACTAGTTCTCAAAAATAGACACACTCCTCATCACCCTAAATTCCACCACCCTCTCCCAAACTTTCAAAGTGTGACTCAACAACTTTATAGCCCTTATAGTAAGCCCCACCAAACCTGCTCAGCCTGCGTTCTTCTAAAATTCCACTAGGATTTCGCATGGCCCAATTGCTCTACTCCTACTCATCGTACTCATTGCCCCCTCAACTTCCTCAACCTTAATACGCCTAATACCCAAAATCACACCAACTCTCAAAGTGCTCCAACTCATCTAGCACATCATTTAATAGTTTATGAAAGTATGTATGCCATTTTTGTTTAGTAGATGCCTCTTCCATCAGTACTTTTCCATCCTCGTCTTTGATACACTTTACTTGGTCCAAGTCACGGGCCTTCCTCTCCCTCACCTTGTCCAAACGGTATAACTTCTTGTCCCTGCCTTTTCCCCTAAGTTCATCGTATAAACATCCAAATGCAGTAGTCTTAGTCATCATAACCGCTAAATTCGGCTCTTTCTTTGCCTTCTTATAACACTCCTGGTTCGTCCTCTTTTCCTCCTCGTCTATGCTTTCCACTAGCTTTATAGAAGCCATTTTCTTGACTTTCACTTTACCTTGGACCTCTCTATTCCACCACAAGTCCCCTTTATGTCCCCTAGAGTAACCTTTTGTGACCCCTAAGACCTCTCTAACACCTTCCCTAATGCAATTTGTTGTTGTAATCCTCATCATAGTCGCATCCACTACTCTCCAAGTCCTCGTGGCCATAAAAGTTCCCCCAACTCCTAAGCTTTGTCTTTATTCAAGTTTCCTCAGTTGATCTTAGGTTGAGTGCACATCGATGTCTTCATCCTTTTCCTATTAATCACCGGATCCATTATCAAGAGTCTATATTGGGTCCTGAGGTTCTCACTTGGGATGACCTTGCAATCTGTGCATATACTCGATCACACATCCTGCAGAGAAAGTAATCAATCTCATTCCTAGCCACCATATTCGAGATGGTGACCAAATGCTCCTCCCTCATAGGAAAACTCGAGTTAGCTATTACCAAATCAAAAGCTCTATCGCGATCCAACATCAAAGTACCTCCCTTGTATCCATCTCCAAAACCAAACTCGGCATACACATCATCGTAACCCCTAGCAGTTGCCCTGATATTTCTATTGAAATTTCCTCCAATGAAAAGCTTCTCAATGTGCGGAATACTATACACCACCTCGTCCAAATCCTCCCAGAATTGCCTTGACCTCCTTGTCCAAGCAAACCTGAGGAGTGTATGCATTAATCATGTTTAAAGTAAGACCTCAAACTACAAGCTTAATAGCTATCATGTTGTCGTTTACCCTTCTAACCTCGACCACTAGCTCCCTGAGATCCTTGTCAACTAAGATACATACCTCGTTCTTGCCTCTAGCGCCTCCTGAGTACCACAATTTAAACTCGTCTACATCTCGTGCCTTAGTACCCACACATCTAGTCTCCTGAACACATGCTATGTTGATATTCCTATTCTGTAGAATCTTACCTAATTCTATATATTTCCCCGTCAATGTCCCTATGTTCCAAGACCCAACTCTCAGCCTAGAGGGTCCGTTATCCCCCTTCCAACCCTCACCCCCCCCGATGACATGACCTTACTCTCCCATCATTCACCACAACCACTATAGTCTAAGGGGTACTAAGTAATCACTACTTCTAAACTAGCAAAGAGCTAAAACAAAGAAAAATAATCCAAGAATTCGAAAACTTAAAAACTCAAAGGCACCAATATGAGAACAGTAAAGCAAGCAAGTACTAGAGCAATTAATCTACCTCATTTCTAATCTACCACTATTCAAGCAGAGAGCTAAAATAATATACACTATAATTTAAAACTAAAAGACACTAATTTACAAGTATAGAAAAGCAAGCAAGTGTTGTCTAACTAGAGAAATTAATCCAACTACTGTAGCAGGCGAGGCAACCAGAAACTGAAAGATGTATTAAACATAACCAAAGATTGCCGGTGAGGTAACATGAAAGAAAGGTATCACAATAATCATTAATGAAAGATATGCACACAAATATAATTGAGCGAAATAGGAAATAACGATTCAAGCAAGACGAAACCTAGATTATATTCAGAGATGTATGAATGCGCTTTTGTAACCACCCTAGCGGTTTATTTGAGAGTTGTAGCCCCATTCTCCCATTTACTGCTAATTTTGAACTTTATAGATGTTATGTGACTTATTGGGGTAGTCTGTTTGGGTCCGGTGAGATTTCAGAATGAAATGAGACACTTAGTCTCAAGGTTAAAAGCTTAAATTGAAATGATTGACCGGATGTTGATCTTTAATCAAATGACTTCGTAATGGAATTTTTATAGTTTCGTTAGCTCCATTAGGTGATTTTGAACTTAGGAGCGTGTCCAGATTGTGATTTGAAGGTCCGTAGTGGAATAAGGCTTGATCGGGAGTGGACTTTTGATATCGGGGTCGGATTTCGATTTCGGAAGTTGAAGTAGGTCGTAATGTCAAATGTGACTTGTGACTTGTGTGCAAAATTTGGGGTCAATCGGACGTGATTTGATAGGTTTCGGCATCTTTGTAGAAATTGGAAGTTCAAAATTCATTAGGCTTGAATCTATGTGTGATTTATGTTTTTGATGTTGTTCGGGGTTATTTGAGGGCTCGACTAAGTTCGTATCATGTTTTAGGACTCGTTTGTATGTTTGTTTGAGGTACCGGGGGCCTCGGGTTGATTTTGGATGGTTATCAAACCGATTTGAAGTTTGAGGGAATACTGAAGCTCATCAGCTTCTGGTGCAATCGCACCTGCGGAGTGGAGATCACCGGTGCGTTCTCGCATAAGAGAGAAGGGAGTCGCAAAAGCGACCAGGGAGGAAGTGAGCAGAGGTCACAGGTGCGAGGTTATTTCCGTACCTACGTGGTCATAAATGCGGCATTAAGGGCACAGAAATGAAGGGCTCGCAGGTGCGATGAGGAGTTCCGCACTTGCGGTTGTGCAGATGCGAGGCGAGAACCCCAGAAGCGGAGGCCTAACTCCAGTGGTTCACCGCAGAAGCAAAATTTTGTTCGCTTCTGCGACACCGCAGATGCGGTTTAAGTGTCCGCAGAAGCGGAAATGCTGGACAGAAAGTTAAATTCAAGGGTTCACGATTTTTGCTTCCTTTCAAACATTTCAAGCACGGTTTAGGCAATTGTTGAGAGGGTTTTCAAGCAGATTCTTGAGGTAAGTCCCTTGTACTCATTTCTTTATTAATAATCTTGCTTCCCCATTGATTTTCCCACCTAGTTGGTGTATATTTATGGTGTAAATTGGAAGTTTTGGTGCTAGGGATTTGGAGAGTTTGATTTGAGGATTTGGGTGATGATGTGGTGTCGAATTTTGATAAATTTGGTATGGTTAGACTCGTGGTTGAGTGGGCTTTTGGGTTTTGTGACTTTTATCAATTTCGAGACGTGGGCCTGGGGGCTGACCTTGAGCTGATTTTTTATTTTGATTAATAGCTTAGCATTTTCTTATGGAGTTGATTCCTTTAGCCCGTGTTTATTATGTCACATTGTTTATGGATAAATTCGAGGCAGTCAGATGACGTTTCGTGAGCAAGGGTGTGTTGGAGTAGATATTTTCCCGTATTGAGGTAAGTAACAGTTCTAAATTTGGTTCTGAGGGTACGAAATCCTGTATTACATGTAATGTATTTGGTTTTGATGTGACGTACATACTAGGTGATGGGTGTGTGGGCATGCAACGTAGAAAATTGTGACTTGGTCAAATTCCGTGGAACCGTGTAGTTGTATAATCTGTTGTTATCTGTAGAGAAATTGAACCAGAAATCATGATAGAAATCATGTTTAGACTATGTGTTGGCACTATATGGACCTACGGAGGTCGTGTACATGTTGAATTATCTGCTAGATTGTTGTTTTATACTCAATCATAGTTTTACTTGTTTATTAGATATCAGTCTTTATTGTTCCTTGCTGATACATTATATCATTTCTATTGCGGCTGACTTTCATGACTATTGAGAGCCCGAGAGACTAGAGAGGTTTATGACTGAGTGAGGCTAAGGGCCTAATTGTGAGATAGTAATACTATAACACGTGAGTCGTCCGTGTGGATCCAGATATTATACTATAGCACGTGAGTTATCCATGCGGCACGTGAGTTCTCCGTGCGGATTATAATGCTTGGGCTGAAGGAGCCCCTGCGGAGTCTGCACACACCCCTAGTAAGCGCAGGTACCTATTGAGTGCGAGTGCCAAGTGCTGAGTGGATGGGAGGGCTGAGTGACTGTGGCCCTGAGAGGATGCATTTGATTTCATTATTGTTGCACTTAGTTGTCATGTATCACTGTCTTGAAATTTCTAAAAGATATTACACTCTGTTTCACTTAAACTTGTCATGGAATAACTGTTTGAACTAAATTATGGAACTTGAGAGCATGCCTACTTTCCTATGTTGAAATCTCTGTAATTGAAATGTAACTGTGAAGCTCGTCACTACTTTCAGTTCTTTATTTAGTCTTGTTACTTACTGAGTTGGTTGTACTCACACTACACCCTGCACCTTGTGTGCAGACCCAGGTGCATCCAATTCACGGCGGTTGCTGAGTTATGGAGTTTGGATTCTCGGAGACTATTGAGGTAGCTTCTTGGCGTTTCACAGACCTTGTTTCTCCTTCCCTATATTTCCACTTAATGTATTTAGTTTCAGATTATCATAGACAATATTTTCTTTCAGACTCGTTATGTATAGATGCTCATGTACTCTGTGACACCCCGATGGTTGGGAAATTTCTGCGTTGTATTTTGGGTTTCTATCCTGTTTATGAAAACATTTATTGTTTAAACTGCATTAATTCATTTTTCTGTTAAAAGTGTTGGAAATATTTTAAAATGTCGGCTTGCCTAGTATCACGATAGGCGCCATCACGACAGGTTAGGATTTTGGGTCGTGACAGCTTCCCAATGCACTGCTACTGCAACCTATTGAACACCTTATCATCGGTACTTGAGCCTGGCTAAATTCGTCTCTGCTGCCCTGACCAAGAGAAAAGACAAGTGCACGTGTCAAACAAAACTACAAAGAGAAAAAAAGACAGGGGATAGGGGACAGACTATATGAGTCGCCACCAGTAGTGGCTGATCTGGCGTCTACCTGTTAGCTACATTTGTTGCTCCTAAGATATAAAAAGTGTCAAAGGCAGAAAGGAGAAAAAGCAAGGGAAAGCAGGAGATGGAGGCTGCCAGACGATGGCAGTCGGTGGCAGTTTATAGTTTAGAGGGCGAGGGTAGAAGAAAAAGAGTGAAGAGGTGAGAGAGAAGAGAAAGAGAAGGAGAAAGGGGATATAAAAGAGGGGGTCTGTATGGGATTCACCAGCAGTCGTTGTCGATTAAGACCGGTGGCCGGTGGTCTGCGGCTACACCCAGAAAAAATTGAAAGGAGATAAAGAAGAGAGGAAAGATAGGGAGGGAAATAGAAGAAAAGTGAAGAGAGAGAGAGAGAGGGGGGGGAGAGAGAGAGAGAGAGCTTACACGTGCCAGCGCGGAAGAGAGAGAATGACGCTGAAATCGAACATCAAAAGTAGTATAGTTATCATTACACACACACACACATATCTGATTATATTCAATCCATACCAGTAAAACATTGGAAGTGTGAGATACAAATTACAATAATTGTATTATGGCACCCAATATATATAATATTTTATATATACTTTAAAATAATTATATAGAATTTATTTTTAAAATATCTAGAAATAATTGTTATTCTCTCGTTGGATGTAATATTTAATAGAGCTATAAAGTGCATCCTCTTTTATATATTCTAAATAATGCTTGATCCTAATGTGCATCATCACTTTTTTATCAAGGGTTATTGAAGTACCTCAATCTCTTTATTCTTTCATATTCAAATGTCAAGATCTATTAAGATTTTATATATTTTTTGAATTTAAAATGGTATTTGTCGATAACTTTTAAAATTCAATCGAACATATCATTATTTATGTTTTATATTAATTTTGAGTTTAATTATAAAAATTCAGTTAAACTTGAAAATGTATATCAATGAAAAACTAATGTTAGACTAAGAAAATAACTTTCATGTAGTACCAAAAGAGTTCTTCAATAAGAATATTTTAAAAAATTATATATTTATCAATTTGTTCAATTATTACTAAATATATTTGTAGGCATTTAAATTTTATTAGAATTAAATCCATAAAATTATTTGAACTATATTTCAAATTCAAGATATATTAGTCCA